GGGGGGGGGTGATTTCTCGCTTTCTGTCTCTCTGTCTCTCTCTATCTTTCTGGCGACTGCATGTGCCTATAGCAAAGAACTCTAAAAGAAAGAAAGAAAGAAAGAAGGAAGGAAGGAAGGAAGGAAGGAAGGAAGGAAGGAAGGAAGGAAGGAAGGAAGGAAGGAAGGAAAGGAAGGAAAGGAAAGGAAGGAAGAAAGAAAGAGGAAAGTGGGAAATCACCTCCCAAGGGGGCATGGCCATGCTGCAATCCCTTTTCTTCCATTCTGCCCTCAAGACTTTGGACACATATACCCACATGCCCAACGCAATGCCCAAGCCACTAGGTCCAAGACTCAAACTACTCAGTCAGCCACCTTAACCTCCATACCACCTGTTGGCCCAGTTTTTAAGTACTTAGTTCATTGTGAATTTTTCTTCAAAGTTGAAATATATATTCATATACATTAATGTTTCCCTAACTCCTCAGAATAAATTCCTAGAAATGCCAAAATGACTCCAGGAAAGTGTTAGAAAATCACATTCTTATCAGTATTATATATGTAGTCTAGTCAAGTTCCTCGGTTAACAATGAGCATCATTATTTAAAAAACAACAACAAAGCTGCCATTCGATAAGTCAACTACGCCAGTGCACTATTTCAATGTTCACTTTTGCAGAGCACTGTAATCAGTGAAGCACACTGGCTCTGGGACTCAACAGCTATGAGTTCTAACTCCAGCCCTGCCCAATATCTACATAAAAGAGCTAGTTAGATCATCTTTCTCATTTCTCATACCGAGTTGTTACAAATACCAGAGGAGATAATATAAGTACGTACCCATTACAGCGCCTGGCATGTAGTAAGCTGCCAATTACTATCATTTCCTCTCGGATGAGCTGCCTACTCAGTTAACATGCCTAGTAGGTAACAGAAGGACACAACTGTCCTTTTGGGCCAACACGCTTAGATATAAAAGCAGTCACTGCAACAGCAGACTGAATTTCTTAAATGAGGTCAGCCAGCGAAGGAATGTGTTAGTGGTGGTTACAGGCCAGGAGAGAAAATGTTGTGTTTGGAGTGCATGTGCCCGAGGAACCCAAAGAACAGTTATTTAAGTGTTGGGCTACTTGGTAAATCCTGCCTTCAAACTGAGTTCTTAATTCTCATTAAGAGTTGGTACAGTCTAAATTTACCATATTAAGTGGTATTACACATCTAAGTGGTATCTTAGATTCCTGGGGAACTCTGAAAGGAACAGGAAACCCTGGGAAGCAAGAGAGGCTTAATAACAGATGCAAAGGGATCAAACGGGATTACCTGATTTGGGGCTGGAGAGTTGGGGCATGGGGGATATGAGCCTTAAATCAAGATAATAGATCAGTGGGTCTCGGATTTTTCCCTGGGAGCACCCAGAGCAGACATTTGCCTAGAAGACAGCCAGGGCCTGATCCTATGGTCTTCAAGGACATTAAGCATAAGAAGGGCCATGAAATAGGCAAGCTTCTCCCTGAAGCACCATTATTCAGACTGTAGGCCGTGACCCATTAAGGACCATGTAATCAATTTAGTGAGCATGATTTTTTAAATAGTTAAATCATACAGGAAAAGTAAAAATTAGAGTGCATTTCCATGTGGTAGTACATTATCCTTACTCATAACTCACTTGGTATTTTATAGAAGTTAAATTAAGTTATTTCACTTGGGGATGATACACTTAAAGTGTAAATTAGAACTGTTAATTTATTCTAGTTGTCTCCCTTGAGATAACAACATTATATACTTATTTCTTCCAAGAATTATTCTTGGTCAACAATTATTTCAAGTTATATACAGGTTAAACATCCCTAATCTGAAAATCCAAACTACAAAATACTACAAAATCCAAAACTTTTTTGATGCCACAAGTGGAAAATTTCATGCCTGACCACACGCAGTGGAAACATGACAATATAAAACTACCTTCAGGTTACATGTATTAAGTGTATTATGAGACATAAATGAATTTTGTGTTTAAATTTGGGTCCCATCCCCAAGATATCTCATTATGTATAAGCAAATATTCCAAACTCTGAAAAAAATCAGAAAGCCAACACATTTCTGGTTCTACGCATTTTAGACGAGGGATACTCAACAAGTATGTACCACATACTTCAATACTACACAGAACAAGACCCTGAAAAAGGGGTTATGACAATGAACTAATCAAGTTAGCAGGTAACAATTCTACCAAGTTGCTAACCTCAAATTTTCTACTATATAACTAATAGAATAACCTATACTGTTATAAAAAAATATTTTAATACATTCACAGAGCTTCAATTTTTAAGTCTCTTGCAAAAAATTAAGAAAATTACAGATGAGTAGTTAGTTGCTACAAAGTTCCTTTTAAAAAATTATTTGTTTATAACATCAGAGCAAAATTTTCTGTTTAAAAAAACAAAGTACTAGGGAAAAAAAGCTGCATTCAAAATAGAGGGGTCACAGAGGTTATCTACCTCCAACCCAAGTTATTAAGGTATGTTCAGGCAAAGGTTCTTCCCAGTTTTAAAAAGACAAAGGCTACAGTTTCCTCTTTAATTTTGTAAACACTAAATGAAAATTTTTGAAGAAATAGTTATAATCCAAAGCCTTTTACAAACTTTCCCTCATACCTGTGCAACCACGATTACTGTTTCAGTTTTTTCCTGGGAAGCATCTGTAAAAGGCTAATAACAAGTATCATCTTACGCTCTGGTGCACTCCAGAGGAGGCATGAGGTGTCCCAGCTTCCCTGCTTGTGTCCTGCCCTCATAAGAGTGTGGTTGGGACCTGGCCCTGCCTTGTCCCCTCAACTTCTACCTTGCTAGGAACCAGGAGAAGGGTTAAGCAGAGGGTAGCTGGGTAGGACTCCAGGTCATACTCAATAGAACAACCAAACTGAGAAATTGTAAACAGTATTTTAGTCTATCAACACCCTTCCTTTCTCCTACGTATACACTGCCTATGTGTGCAGTAGTCTTATTCTATACACTATCCCAAATATTACTGAAAAATGTTCTATTTGTGAAAGAGATAAAAACAGTTTAAATCAGTTTCAAGTTAAAATCCGTTTTACTATATTTCTTAAATTGTAGGCTTTTTTTTTTTTAATTGCCAAAGGGCATGTGTACTGGGAAATCCCCTAATGGGATGTGGTCCCGCTGCAACTCTTTTTCATTTATGGTGCGTGCGCACGCACACGCACACACACACACACACACACACACACACGTGCTGGATATGTCTCAAACCACTGGGATCACTGTCAGCCATGTGGGATCTAGCTTCCAAAGCACATGGTTTGACCACTGCACTATAGGGCCAGTCCCAAAGTGAAAGCTCTGAAAATATGTACTTGATTTTGAGGGCTCTACAAAGACAATGAAGAATGATAGTACTTGGCCAGCAGGTAGTACAGTGGTTAAGACACTGGACACCCACATGGTTAACTGTGGTTCAAGTCCCAGACCCAGTGGTTTGAAACATGCCAGGTGCATTTGCATGTGTGCCCAAAATCCTGAGAGGAGAATGGAAGAGAAGGGATTGTGGTGTGGCCATCGCCCTGGAGGGTGATTTCTCACTTTCCCTTTCTATTTCTCTTCAGTGAGCAAATGTACCCTATAACGTAAATCTCTCTCAAAAAAAGAAAAAAAAAAACAGCATTTTTCCTCTTAAGCTTGTGGCTTATTTAGTAAGTTATTCAATAATTCAGACAAAGATTGCATTCTACATATCTCTGGCAAAATCTTCCCTAAACATTTTGATGGGTGTAATATCACTAAATAAACTATTGTTAAAGTATAAGGGGGTCTTCAAAATTTTCATGTAAAATGTGTATTATTAAAAAAAACTACACATGGATTTTTTTAAAATTTTGCACAGGGGCCAGCCAGTGGCATGATGGATAAGGCACTGGACTCCTCCATGGCCAATTGCAGTTTGAGTTCTGGACCTTGCTTTCTCAGTTTCCCTCTCTCTCTCTGTTTCGCTCTGGTGAACTAAAAATGAGAATAAGTAAAATTAAATAATTCTTTTTAAGGAAATTGCATCAAGGTAAACTTACTCTAATTCCATTTTCCTACAAATTTTTAAATTCCTTCATATTATCTCATATATATTAAGTTCAGAACATCAATTTTTATTTAAGCATCTAGTACTTACTCAAGGAGGAACCATGTAAAACTGCACAGTTGGGACAGTGATACAGGTCAATGTCAACAGCATGATGTTCTTCTACTCCAACACAGCTAAGATAAAGAAATATAAAGTCAATATGTAAATAAGTTGAAAATCTTTACTTAACTATAATGCAATGATTCAAATTTAGCTAAGACATGTAAAAATCTCACCAGCAAATTCTGCAGCACATAGAAACATAAACAGAGATTAACTGTACCCTCTTTTCTACACGCTAGCTAAATAATTATGGGTAATATTATCTTAGCATCAGTAGAGACATCAGAAATAATGCAATTATAAGCCATAGAAATCCTGAACCATCATGAACCCACTTGTTATGGAATGTGTGTAAGATATGAGTCAAAAGATAAATCACAATAAAAATCTGAAAATGATTTTAAGATGAACAATATAAATACTACATAACAAAATTTGTGGGATGCAGAACTCATGAGCAGAAATGTACAGCCTTAAATGCATGTGTTAGAAAAAAACAGGCTAGAATCAAAGAGCTCAGTCTCATATACAGAAAAATGTTAAATAAACCACAGAGAAAGAAGGAAAAAATAGAATGATCTATATAGTCCTGTAAATATTACTTAGTAATTTAAAAATCAACCTACAAAGAAAACTTAAGGCTCAGGTGACCTTATAAGCAAGTTCTATCAAATATCCACATATTTTTTTCTTTTGGAGAGGTTTTTGCTATAGGGCACGTATGCTCACCAGACAGAGAGACATGGAGACAAAAAGCGAGAAATCACCCGCGGGGAGGGGTGTCCATGCCGCAATCCCTTCTCCTCCATTCTCCTCTCAGGATCTTGGGCATGCATGCACACGCGCCCAGTGTGAATTTAAGCCACCAGGTCCAGGACTCAAACCACGGTCGACTACATGGGAGTCCAGTGACATAGCCATTACACCAACTGCTGGTCCCACAAATTAAGAAGTCTAATATTATATAAAATTTGCCCTAAGGAGTAGGAAAAAAGAACTTATGCTCTAACATTTTAGAACATGAATTTTGTAACTAAACTTGAAAAGGATGATTATAGGACACTCTCATTTATAAGCAAAGCTTCAAATACCAAATTGGGTCTACCCCAGGAACACACAGTGGTTTTTAACATTAAAATTTTTAATTAGTGGGGCCAGCAGGTGACGTGATAGTTAAAGCACTAGATTCCCATATGGCTATGGTTCTAGTCCCTGACCTAGCAGCTTGCTTTCTCACTTCCACTTTCTCTCTCTCTGGTCAAATTAAAAAATAACAACAACAAATAAAATTAATTAAATAAATAATTCTTTTTAAAACAATTTTTGTAGCACTTTTTTGCCTTAGGGCATGTGTGCTCACCAGAGAGACAGAGACAATGGGAGGGAAAGTGACAAAACACCCCTTCCCAGGAAATAGCAACGCAGCAATCCCTTCCCTTCCATTCTCCTCCCCGGATCTTGGGCATGCATGCATGTCTGGCATGAGTTAGAAGCCACCAGGTTGGGGACTCGAATTGTGGCTGGCCAAGTAGGAGTCCAGCAATGTAACTGCTATACCATCCTTGGCCCCTAAAACATGTTAATTAGTGAAATTCACTACATTGATAGTGCAAAAGAAAAAAAAAACATATGACTATTTTAAAAGATATTGGAAAAATATTTTATTCGATTCAACATTTACTTATGATCGAAAAGGAGCAGAACCTGTTAGCAAACTTAAAAGATATTTCTATAATCTGGTAAAGAGTGTATCTGGAAAACTCCATGTGAAAGCAATGACGTTGAGATTAAGAACAAGATGAGAGCACGTGATATCACTACTTCCAGTGAACACTGCTGGAAGAGCGAGCTGATAAGGGTACAACATGAAAACAATTAAAAGGTACAGGGATTAGAAAAGAAAAACAGGGACCAGCAGGTGGCGTGATGGTTAAAGTGCTGAATACTCCCACACGGCCGACCACAGTTCGAGTCTCAGACCTGGTGGCTTCCTTTCTCACTTTCCCTCTCTCTCTTTTTCTTTGTCTCTCTCTGGCCAAATTAAAATAAACGAATGAATAAATCAAATTAAATAAATAATTCTTTAAAAAAAAGAAAAACAAAGCTGTCATTTGCAATGCTTTAGTTACACAGAAAATGCAAAAGTATCTATACATAAATGGTTAAGAATCAACTGAAAAACAAAGACTGCTAGATCCAGTATTAGTACATAGAAAGTAATCACATTTCCATACACCAACAATATAAACCTGAAAATTGGGACCAGCAGTTAACGTAATGGCTACGTCGCTGGACTCCCACATAGTCGACCGTGGTTCGCGTCCTGGACCCGGTGGCTTAAAACTCTTGCCAGGCGTGTGTGCATGTGTACCCAAGATCCCGAGAGGAGAACGGAGGAGAAGGGATTGCAGCATGGCCATCCCCTCTGGGGAGTGATTTCTCGCTTTCTGTCAGTCTGTCCGCCTGGGGAGTGCACGCGCCCTATAGCACAAAGAAAAACCTCTCAAAAAAAAAAAAAAAAGTAAACCTGAAAATTCAACAACACTCTAAGCACACTTGCTTAAAAAATGTCAAGCAAGTAAGGAACCAGCAGCTGGCATAATGGCTATGTCGCTGGACTCCCATGTATTCGACCGCAGCTCAAGTCCTGGACCCGGTGGCTTAAACTCACGCCTGGCGCATGTGCGTGCCCAAGATCCTGAGAGAATGGAGAAGGGATAGCGGCGTGGTCATCCCCTCTGGGGAGTAATTTCTCGCTTTCTGTCTCTCTGTCTCTCTCTTTCTTTCTGGTGAGCACATGCATCCCATAGCAAAAACTTCTCCAAAAAGAAAAAAAAAAAGTCAAGTAAACTGGAATAAATGTAATAAAAACTAGCCAAAACCTCTTTAATAAAAATTTTAAGAAGTTACTGAAAGACTGTAAAGCAAAACTAAATAAAGGGAGATATGCATCATTTTCACAGATCTGAAGTTTGGTAATGTAAAGATACTAATTCTCTTCCAAGTGACACAGATTTAACTTAATCTCAATCAAAATCCATAGAGCCTGACAAGTTGATTTTAAAATGGATGTGGAAATGTAAAGGGGCAAGAATATGCAAGGCATTCTAAGGATAAAACCAACAAAGCCCCACTGCTACCAGGTATCAAGACCTATTTTAAAGCTACAGGAATCAAAGCAACCTGGAACAGATACAGTGCCCTAAACAGATCCATCACACATGCACCTTACATAACACAGGAGCACTGCAGACCCTAGGGCAGGGGTTTCCAATACAAAATCTTAAGATGCTTTTTATATATCTATATAAGGTGAAAAAATGAAACGAGACACCGATCTTACAGCATGAAAATTTATTCCAAAGCAGATTAAAAACCTAAGGATATACAAAAGGAAAATACAAAGGTTGTATAACATAATATAGGAGATACCTCTATGGCAAGAAGAGTTGTCTTTATCAAAACACAGAAAAAACACTGACCATGAGGGGGAAAAAAACTGGTAACTTCGGTCACATTGAAATAAGTTCTGGGTCAGCTGGTGGTGTGGGGGTTAAGGTAGCTGGATCCTCTATGGTTGACTGCATGATTCGCGTCCCCGACCCGGCAGCTTGAAGAACATATCAGGCACATGTGCATGCGTAGGGGTGTGCCTAAAATCCCGAAAGGAGGAAGACATGGAGGAGAAGGGATTATGGCATGACTGTCCCCCATGGGG